GGGGGTGTCTTTATGGTATTTTTCTATTAATGAAATTGGTATCTATATCCTGAATTTCGACTCTTTTCTGATATTCCAGTCTATAAACTTATACTAAAACAATTATTCCCCTCAGGCTCAGTGATTATCATGAATAACATTCACCTCACCCTTTAAAGACTCTCGGCTCGGTAAATATTCACTGGTAATTACTTTGCCTTTGGCAAATAATTGCGAAGGTATTATAAACAGTACTACAAATTAAATAAAACAAGGAATTAACAGTGGCATCTCTAGAGGGGAACTATTTACCTTGACTATATGTTGCATTAACAGACTTCTCATGGCGTCTAGTTCAATGTCAGCGTCATGTTGAACTGATATGACAATGGTATGGACCCGAATAGGAACAGCCCTGCCATTCTCAAACTTGTACTCAACAGTGACTTGAGTTTTAGAGTCAGGGCGCACCCAGGGAAGTGAACCATCACGCCTACACTCGGCAAGTTTCTTGTTAAGTCCATGTGCTAATACACAAGTTAAAGGCATTAGTTCATCAGTTTCGTCTGTGGCATAACCAAACATTAATCCCTGGTCTCCTGCTCCGACATCTTCGTCGCTTCGTCCCACGTGAACTCCCTGGGCAATGTCAGGACTTTGTTGCTCAATTGCTTGAAGGACTGCGCATGTTTTGTAGTCAAATCCTGAAATAATAAATCATGCAGTTGTATATTATAATTAGCCAAGCTATGATTATATTATTACCCAAGGAATATAATGCATGCAATGTGACAAAACTACACTACACTGGCACCTGCAGGACACAAGAAAGTATCGGGTATGCTCGTCATATCTCTTAGGGGTAAAAAAAAACATCCTTGAACCTTTTAAAAAGACTTTTGGTATCTCTTAGGGGTATTTTTTAAAATGTCCGACGAGCACACCCGATACTTTTATCCCGGAGTCCCTCTGAGGCCACCATGCATACCTTTTCTAGAATCATCGTATCCTATTTGCTTGATAGTGTTGCGGACTATCTTCTGATGATCGATTTGAGCTTTGGATGTGATTTCACCTAATATTACAATCATCCCCGTCTTAGCAGCACTTTCTGAGAAAAGAAATAGAGAACGCGTTACCATAAATATATGCCGGAAAGTTGGGATAAAATAATTGAACAAGTTCTTGCAAAGTTTTAATTGATTGAAAAAATTGAAATTTTGTGTTGGCATCTCGAAATTTTTGCCTTGATAACTTGAAATTTCGTGTTGTGACAACTGAAAATTTTGAGTTGTGAAATCAAAAAAATGATTCAGAAACTTTCTGAAATAAAACCAACAAAGAAATCAAAAAAAGTAGAAAAATTTGAATGTCCCTTATGGGCCACCGTAAGTATAAGTTTCCGATTGGTCGTCGAGAAATCAATCGCCAACACTCATTCTCCATCATCGCACTACAATTACTAGAACTCAAAAGAAAGTAATCGATCCTTCTAAACAACTACAAAAATATATTAACTTGCACTTGTGGAAGCCGTCCGTTTTATCTTGCTTCCAGTCTTTTTGAATTAAGGTAAAAGGTTGCGAGACACAAATAGCAGACGGCATCTGCGTAAAAATGCTAGACTGCTACAACAGGGAGCCCAACTAAATTGGCACTGTATTTTAAACGAATCAACACTTATAAAACACAACAGAGAATACGAATTATTATTATTCACTATACATTATTATTTATTTCAGATTTTTCAATGTATAAAAAAATCATGTTACTCGTTTTCTGGTTACTCGGTTTGCTCGTTACTTGTTACTGCGCTACTCGCTACCCGCAATAAAAGTAAAAATTTTCCGTTCTCTCGCGTCGCTTCTTTTCATAGCGAGACTGACAAAGAGTCGCATAGTGAGACTGACAGTAGAGTCGCATAGAGTCGCGTCTCTTAGCATGCGTCCCTATACATTTGAGAACCAAGCTTACCATATAAAGTAATCTATACTATTCACTATGGACCACTGCTTGTGGCAGCAGGTTGGAATGCAGCTCAAAATGGAGCAGACAACAATAGGTTTCCAATTCTCAGAAGATTGAAATTATTTTGTTTTGACTTTAAACGAATTGAGCTGTTATCGAATATTCATTGTTGAAGTTTCAAGAAAAGCCAGCTATAGAATCAGGAAGACTAAGCTTATCACACCTTTTCGATTTTTGCACCTGTCAAAGTATACCCCGTAGGGGGAGGGCGGGCAAGGGGTGGGGATTTGATCAAGGGCTAGAAAGTTTGGTCAAAATCCCCAGGGTAGGGTAAGAAACACTGATCAAATGAACACAAATGCCCCCACCGTCGGTGACTTTAACAAAAAAAGGTAACCCATGGTGAGCTCGTGAAGCTTTTTGAGTACCAAAGAAGATATGATACTTGGCGACTCTTGATGGTATTGTGACCCGAGTAAGGCGATAGTCGGAGTTATGTTTTGTGCAAACAAACTGTTGTCTTTATCAATTAAATAATTGGCTTCTGATTGGCTAAAATCCTATCTTTTCCGAGATCTGGATGGACCGAGTCCGAATGAGTAATCGATGGATCCAATATATGACAAACCAGGCTGTTTTCGGATTCTTCTTCCAACTTAATGATAAATACGACAATCTCATATCTCAAGCATTGCCGCATTGAAACGGCTACAGCTTCGGATTAAAAGTTTAAAAAAAAACGGATTAAAGGTTTCCAAAATGATGAATTATTTTTTCATTATAACGTAATGATGACATCATAGAAATCGTTTACCGCTTATTTTCTCGAAAACTAGACCTAAACTTTCAAAKCGACTTGCACCAGTCGATAGTATTCATCAAGGCACCCAACATATTGCAATATGAAAAAAATGTATGAGAGCGTTTTTCAAATATTACGCGATGAATATTTTCATGGACTTTTACTATTATTACCAATGTGTCAACTTTATACCCTCAAAATCGGGACTTTAATTTAGTGGATTCAATATGTTTAGTAGCCACGATATAGGTACGGATATAGACACTGTCCTTATTGAGTATTAATCAAATTGTGGCTTTCTTTCTAACGTTATGGATTTTTTGATATGAAGCTAAATGACCCCATTTGTTGTCAAAAGCGATAGAAAATATCGGTGCAAGCGGCATTCAAAAAATCGTCGAATGAAGTCGTAAAGATGTATCTTTTACAAATATTTTCCTTTAATTTCATATGCATTGAAGGGTTTTAAGGCAGTCAAATAAAAATAAGTACGCTCTCAACTAACAGCACAAGACAAGGAATAACACGGAAGTCAAGCGTGAATAATCAACAAGCAGCTGTGAGCGAAAATAGTTGTGAGCATGATATTTGGAAAACGCCTTAACGCCGTAAAAATAGACGAAACAAGACTAATGTGTTGTTATCCAGAAAACCGAAGCGACGCACATGTGGATATGCAAATGAGGTAGGTAACCAATATTCCCGCTAGTCCCCAGTCTGTTCGCAGCGTAATCAAATGGCCCGATCCACGGGCCCTAAAAAAGCCATCAAATGGCCRTCAAATGCCCGAGGGAGGGACAACAAATGCGTTCAAATCCCCACTCTTTGCCCGCACTCCTCCCCAAAAGGATTCAACACCATAGTCCTCAACGTTTTCAAAATTTAAAAAAGTACGATCATTAAGTTAAGACTTAAATGTTCTTGGGGAAAATTTTAAGCTCTGAGTTTAATTAGGATTCAATTCTCGCATTTATGAAAGTCAAGCTTTGTCTAGAACCAAACAAAAAAACGCGGTGTCTAGATACCCGGCACCCGGGAACCAATTTCAAAATACTAGATACCCGGGAGTTTTTGATTTTTGAAACAAATCGTCAAATAAAGACATCTTTGCACATTGAAAGTATTCTTACTTTATTTAGAATAGTCAAGCGCTCCTGTTAACGATAAAAGATACATAGTTTTGGTTCCTGGGAGCTAGCATGTTGATCGAAGTTATTCTAATTTGGTGTCTTCGAATTGACCTTCATATTCTATGCCATGTGAGAAAACAGCATAAGCAAAATTACAGATCTCTTAACGTTAACAGAAGCGATTGACTATTCTAAATAAAGTAAGAATACTCTTAACTGGGCAAAGATGTGTTTATTTGACGATTTTTTTTCAAAAATCAAAGAYTTCCGGGTATCTAGTATTTTGAAATTGGTTCCTCTACGGATGCCTGGTATCTAGACACTTCGAAAAAATTCATACCACAAGCGACTTTAGCATCGGGATCTTCCTTCAAATGTGCATCCAAAATGGCATCTGATATCTGGTCACACATTTTATCTGCAAAATGTTAAACCATGCATTGAAATTATCATATTACAGCTTTGTATTTCAGAATGATTTGAGGCACAATTTTGATAATCATTTAAATAATGTGAATTTACCTGGATGTCCCTCGCCTACAGACTCCGATGTGAAAAGAAAAGTATTGTTAGACTTATCTGATGTATTCATTTTGGTATTTTCAGTAAAACTCTAATATTGTTTTACAGATGTTTGCTCGAAAACGCCACGAGTACACCGCTATTCAGCAGGTCGGCTGCCCAAAATTTATATTGATTTCATGTCACATCTGTCACGCAATGTATAAGTGTTGCGTTACTATACATGATAATGAAACCGAAGAAAAAGGAAGAAAGAAAGAAAGAAAGAAAAGGTATGTGTAAATGCTGTAGATTGGCTGTGAATTGGAATATGGAATTTCAGTTAGTAATAATCATAGTAGTAGTAGTAGGAAATGGCCAGTTCTGGCGATTTTTCCTATGCTTGTCCACGTGATCAGATCGTGACCAAATTCCTGGAAATCAACACAAGAACTGAAAATAACCCCAGACATCGCGTGATCATGTCGTGATATAAAATCCAGGATGGCGGACCAAACTCTGAGAAATCACGTGATCAGCTCGTGACAAATTCTGAGAAATCAGCCAAGGTAAAAAGTTCACGTTCAGTTTGTTTACACTTTTAACAAAAGAAGTTACAGAATAAGAAAAGATTAATGACAGATATAAAAAAAAAAAACTAATTAAAGATAGTTTTAAATAATGATGTCAAATAATAATAATAATAATAATAAACTCTTTATTTACTGGGGGTAGCACTAAATAGCAATATGCTAACAAAACTGTGGCCCTCTAATATATAAACTATGAATATATGTGTATAAAACACTATAAAATTATAATTACAAGATAAAAACCCCTACACTAAAAAATAAATTATAACTAATAGTTAATAAATTATGATTAGAAATAATAATAATAATAAATAGAATGCACTAGATTATACTATAAAACGATTTAAAGTTTTTTGATTATCTAAGAAATAATTTCTTAAAGAGCTTTAAAATGCAGTCGAGTTGACCACTGGATAGGTAAGATGGAAGACTCAAATGCAAAGCGTTATAAATATTTATAAGAGCTCTGGAGCTAAGAATAGTTGTTCTTTANAAATAGAATGCACTAGATTATACTATAAAACGATTTAAAGTTTTTTGATTATCTAAGAAATAATTTCTTAAAGAGCTTTAAAATGCAGTCAAAGAATCGTTTTGACGTAAGGCTAGAGGCAAGCTGTTCCATAGATGACAAGTAGTTACACTAAAAGATCTCCCTCCCTCCATCTTACGCTTAAAAGAAGGACATACTAAATTATATTGGGAATATCTTGTTGTGCGAGAATGCAAATAATTATTATGATTGAAAAAGTGTGTAGCGGTCAAAGGAGTAAGCTTTCGAGTTGACCACTGGATAGGTAAGATGGAAGACTCAAATGCAAAGCGTTATAAATATTTATAAGAGCTCTGGAGCTAAGAATAGTTGTTCTTTATATAATAAATATAGAAAATTTCATTATGGTAAATGAGAAAAAAATAAATTATTAAATGATTAATTTTGATATAGATTAGTGAATTTGTAACTGCAAGTTCAAAATGAATAGTATGAGGATATGGTTTTGATACTGCAAGGTATAGTTTGCCATATGGTTGCAAGAGAGTATATTCAGATGAAGAAATACCATAGTTTGTGTTCACGGAAAGTTTATGAAGGTTCAACTGTGATGCATATCTGGTATTATACTCATGTAACTCTGTTGCTGGGGTGACGTATCCAGCTGTTGAACTTCATACTTTGATAAAAAGTTTTTGTATTATACGCTAAAAACGAACAAGCTGTAGAAGCAGGATTTATTGGTTGTAAGCTGCGTTTTATCTCGAGAAAATATTTTTATATCAAGTGATATAAGTATATAACACAATATGTAAACGGTATCCGGTGTTTTCCCTTATGCCTTGCACTTTCGCTTTCATTCACTTTCGAAAGCTATGACAAACGAAGGCTTATTTTTATCCCCGCTTTTGCTCGATGACTAAAAGTTTGACTTCAAAATAAAAGGGTTTATGTCAAGAAAGAATTTTAGGTACAAAACAAACAATCTAGTGGAGTTTTTTTAGAAGTTTTTTAGCTCGTACTAGTTGGGATATATATCTATATATWTTTTTGAAAATTTTAGTAGCGTTTTATGGCTAAACCATGACGATAAACCGTCCATAAAACTACTTACAAAGACACAAGATAGAAATTGAACATTTCCCATGCCGTATTCTTACACACCTGTGGTGACCCCATCGTGCCAAATGCTGGTGGCCCCACATCTGCTGGCCCCACGCACCTCTGGTGGCTCCTGTCCCACTTTCTCCGCGGCAATACAACCTGTGATTACGAAACTTGGCAGGGATGTAGTCACGTGTCCTGTCAGTCACCCCACGAAATAATAATAATAATAATAATAATGATAATAATAATAACAACAACAACAACAATAATATTATTAATAATAATAATCTGAAGAATAAGAATAGTAATAATAATAATAATGTGAACTTTATTATGTTTTCCAAATTCCATCGTAAATTTCGCTATATATAGGCAATTTAC